AGGATGAACTAGGGGGTGAAATTAGAGCAGGTGATTGGAATGATATGTGAGAATACACAACTAAGGCAGCGGCGTGTGTTACTTTACAGGAACAGGGTATTAAACGATGCTCTGATAGTATGTTACACCTGTATCGCACCTTTGTTGGCATATGTGTAGCGTAGCTCGAGGGGGAATGTACACACATATGTGGTGGACAGTCCCACAACTCACTGCATTTTGGATGGAGGTTCACCGCTTATGTGAGGCGGTCCTATCGCAGCCTATTCTGATGGATCCATGGACCTTTCTAATATCAAAGCCAATTCAGAACTTGTCACCCCTTTCTTTACATCCCTCTTTTTTCATATTTCCCTTACACTCTCTCTAATCCTATTTTAATGTTATTTCTCTCATGTGTGGTATAGCAATAATAGCTTGACTGGTGTATGGACATTTCTCCATACTGTAGACTGATTTTGAACTGGCATTATTGTGCCTTTTTAAAGTCAACGGCCATACCTGATAGATACTATACTATGTGCTTATTGATGTGCTTCCTTATGTAACTGACATCTTAAATGTTTTTATATCACTTCATTCACATCTATGTTCGTTGTTATCGATGCTTGCACGCGGATGTGTTATGCCATTTTTCTTTAAATAAAGAATAAAAAAAAAAAATTAAATAAAGAGGAAAATTAGGAGTAGGGAAATCGGACTCATCACTTCAGACAATATAGCCATACAATTTATATTTTGACTCCTTATATTATATATTGACTCCTTAGTCTACTAATTATGTCTTGTACAGATATAAACAGTACAAGAATAAAGCAAGTAACTTATCTGTGGTTCGGCGCTCCGCCTTCTCCGACATCATCCAATGGGTCAGGACCTAAAGCACATGTGCGGCGAGCGCTGCTTGTGCATTGGCCCCCCCCCACCACAGGAATGCATTACTATTATTTATATAGAGCCAACAAATTCCGCAGAGTTGTACAATGGGAATCAATGCTTTTCAACAGGGACATTGCAACTAAAATGAGCTGAAGTGATCTGGATGCCTATATTGTCCCTTTAACCCCTTAAGGACACATGACATGTGTGACAAGCTAAAGCTAAAGTTGTTTTGGTATCTATAGTATCCCTTTAAAGTGGCTCTGTCACTTTAAATTTACCTTATTTCCTCTTCCTGTTTTAGAATCTCTTCTTCTTTTCTTAATTTCTGATCTATTTCTCTATAAAACATAAGATAAAGTAGGGATTACTTTATTTTATGTAATTTCCTACACTTGACAAATGGGACAGAAGGGTGGACCTTAAGGCAACTAAGCTAACTCTGCACACAGAAGGGTGGAGCTTAAGGCAACTAAGCTAACTCTGCACACAACGCACTTTTAAAAGCGTTATGGGTGTGGAGTATCGCTTTAATTAATATAACCCTGCAACCATCTTGTGAAGTGATAGGTGTTACCAAGATGGTTCATTTGTACTTCTAACCTGGGGTACATATTTTATTTTTTTAAATGTATTTTTAAAAAATTTATTAAATTAGAAAAATGTGAACTAGTAGGTGTAGGGTAATTATTGTGGATTTAGGTTTTGTCTGCAAAAGTCATCAGATATTTGTACAAAACTGATAATTTAAGAATTGGTGTTTATGGAGGTGGATGGGTGGTTGCAACTCCTGAAGAATTGCATTCAGATAATTTAGTTTTGAGGAAACTGGTTATGGTGCATCTCCCCAAATCTAACTCCTAACTTCATTTAATCTGATTTGCAATTTTGAGCAAAACCTGAGAAATTTCTGTGTGACTTTATCATATGTGGATTTTAAAGCTCCCTTTTCATATTAATGATTGATGACTGGACATTGGGGACACCAGTTTCAAACGGTTACTGAAGGCGTATGAGGTAGAGTGTATATTTTATATACCACATATGTCCACAAATCGTGATTTACTAGAATATTCACAAAAAAAAAAAAGAAAAAGTGAATTGAGAATTTAAGGGCAAACAGGAAGCATTGCTGCTTTGGAGAATTTTCGCAGTTTGCACTTAAATTTAAAATGCACTATGAATTAACTATTGTTAGGGAACATACTTTAGCTTGCTAGGCAGATAATCAAAACAAAAGTACCCTCTAGTGGTCAATTTTAGCATGTCAAAAACTTCCAAAGATGGAACAGCATGCTTTTTAAAGGGACACTATAATCACCAGAACAACTACAGCTTATTGAATTTGTTCTGGTGAGTAAAATCATTCCCTTCAGGCTTTTTGCTGTAAACAATGTCTTTTCAGAGAAAATGCAGTGTTTACATTACAGCATAGTGATAACTTCACTGGCCACTCCTTAGATGGCTGTTAGAGGTGCTTCATGGGGCAGTGCTGTCTAAAATGCATCTAAACATTCAGTATCTCCTCCCTCTGAATGCAGACACTGAACTTTCCTCATAGAGATTCATTGATTCAATTAATCTCTATGATGAGATGCTGATTGGCCAGGGCTGTGTTTGAATCATGCTGGCTCTGCCCCTGATCTGTCTCCTTGTCAGTCACAGCCAATCCTATGGGGAAGCATTGTGATTGGATCAAGCTACCACTTCTGACGATGTCAACAGACTGCTTGTTTTTCTGAGGCAAACAGCATGCAGATCTACAGCTTCAGGCTTGAATACAGTAAGATTTTGCTATATTTACAGAGGCATGAGGAGTCCAGGGGGGGCTAGATGGTGGTTTTAACACTATAGAGTTAGGAATATATGTTTGTGTTCCTGATCCTGTAGTGATCCTTTAATTCAGATTTTACACTTTCAAGACACTCTTACAGGGTTACAGAGGCATTAACACTTCCCTCTTTCTACTGCTAATACCTCTCCCTATACAACCAAGCATCCTGCTAGCATTTCCTGCTGCTCTATTACATTGACTGCCTACCTTTAAGTCATCAGAAATAATCACCCCTAAATCCCTTTCCTCAGATGTTGAGGTTAGGACTCTATCAAATATTCTATACTCTGTCCTTGGGTTTTTACACAATTATCTTGGACTTATCCACATTAAATGTCAGTTGCCACAACTCTGACCATTTTCTTTTCTAGTTTACCTAACTCATTTGTCATTTGGCTTATCCCTCCTGGAACATCAACCCTGTTACATATTTTTGTATCAGAAAAAAGACATACCTTACCAAAAAGACCTGCAATATCATTAATAAAAATATTAAAGCGAATGGGTCCAAGTACAGATCCCTGAGGTACCCCACTGGTGACAAGCCCAAGCTTCGAATATATTCCATTGACTACAATCATCTGTTGCCTGTCACTCAGCCACTGCCTTACCCATTCAACAATATTGGAATCCAAACTTAAATATGTGCAACAGTGTCAAAAGCCTTACTGAAATCTAGGTAAGCAATGTCTACAGCACCACCCTGATCTATTATTTTAGTTACCCAATCAAAGAAATCAATAAGACTAGTTTCGCATGATCTCCCTGAAGTAAACCCATGCGGTCTCTGATCTTGAAATCCATGTATTTTTAAGATGTTCAACAATCCGATCCTTTAACATGGTTTCCATCACTTTCCCCACTACTGAAGTAAGGCAGTTTTGACAGTTGAAACCTCTTCCTATGTAAACTCACAAGTAACATGTACAATAAGGCAATCATTCACAGTAACATTCAATAATGAGCAATGTCATGAAAAGCGTAATCCATGCACCAAGTGTGTGTGTTTTTTTTTGTAGTTCTAGACCTAGGCATAGCTAGATAATTTAGACCTATTGTCCGGCTGATAAGCAGCTCAGGGAAACATATGGGGGAGCTCATGGCGACAGGATGGAACTTCGCTGTGAATAATCTCTAGGCCTTATTGAGTGCAGAGGTGGGGGTGGGCTGAAAGAACCTGGTTTATAGCCACAATGTACATGGACATGACATGTCTGCCTTTTGCTCCAGTAGATTAAGTCAAACATAAGCATGCCAAAAAATAAACAATTTCGAACTGCATATAACATAAATCCTTGGTTTTATTGGTTATTTTGCAGTCACCCTTTATCTAGGGTCAATTCCCGAAGTGCTCGAGAAAGCAAAGTCGGCGGCCGTCTTGGGCCCATATGCACCATGTGCTTGGCAAAGGTTGCCGATATTCATGTCGGGCATGGGTCTATCATGTTTGATTTTTTTTCGGCACATAGTTGGAGTGCTGAAAGGCTGCGTTTTCCAGGTTCTGAAACTGCGTAAAATAGCCAAATTAGACTGTGTGCACGGAGTCCATCAATCGAACATCTGATCAGGTCAGTCGCTTAACTCCACAACCGAAAGCCATGTTTTTAATAGGTTTTTCCACTCAATCTACATTTGCTAGCAAATATATTAACCAAATATTATGCTCTTAAGAGAGCAGAAGCAACTTGGGGCATTAAAAGGTACTTAACTCACCGCATTTTCAGTTCATATGGCAAAGCGGCTTTAAAGAAACAGTCTAAACACCATAACTACTACACATGACCCTAGTTATTGTGCCAGCAGTGCCCTCATTGTTTTTTTTTCCCCTTGCCTGTACTGCTCTCCTAGATCTGCCCTTCTGCACATGTTCACTCTCAAAGTGATTTATTTAACTAGTCACTGTGGACCGCGATTTTCTGGAAGCGTAAGCACTCTCTCTGCATTCTGGACTCCAACCACAGGTAAGCCAAGAAACACCAAACAAGTCAAACTGTTTTCAATAGGAGTGCACCAGCAGAAGCTGTAGTGGTTATAGTGTCATTCTATTGGTCCACAGATTCTGCAAACAGGTTTTTAGCCCAATACATTTTATTTCAGCATAAAATTATGTAAGCGCTCATTCTTTTTCTTTACATTCTATCATTTGAATTTTTTCTTCTTTTCTTGTTAGACACAAGCTCTGTGCGGAGGACATATTAGCACGAAAAGTCATAAGAGTGCAAGTAACCTTTATATAACCCTCCCAGTACATTACACTAATACAGTGACAAAGAATAGACTGCATTTGGCAAATTATTATTTTTTTTTTTTTATTAGAAAGGTGTAAGAAAATGGACAAAAATAGGAGACATTACAAGAACATATATACAGACAGACAAACATAGAAATATATGGCAAGTGCGTATGTGTAGGCAGTCACAAATGATTGATACGCAGAAGCTGCATGTCACAGTACAGACCATTGTGTCCAAACTGCATGCAAAGTTTCAACCTAAGTTCAGTTTAACAAAAGACTAGAGGCTTGATAAGCTCTGGAGTACAGTAAAATCAGGGGGGAGGGGGGAGAGTAGTTCATACAAGTTGAGATATTACACTTTTCAGTATTACAAGCAAGTATTTAAAATATTTTTACAACTACACAGCTATAATAAAACCCACCAGTACAAGAGTGTGTGTATAAGCAAATCGGTCATTCTACAAAACCTGTGCATCTAAAACTAGGCTGGTCCAACTGTGGCTGTCTGGTGACTGGACAACAATTCCAGCAGCACGGACAGAATTATGGGAACTGTAGTCTAAAAATGAAGACCTAGCAAATACGTGGTTTTAAATCATAATCTACCTGCAACTAACAAAAGTATTTTTTTTATTTTTTTTTAACAACAAGTTTTATAGCTGCCATATTCCTGGTTCAAATAGACTACATGCAATGTGGGTCACTCGGAAATCAGACATTTTCGCAAGGGTTTCGTGCAATTTAAAATTAAATAAATAATAAAAAAAAGTTATAACATGTCATCGTCTGAGTCTTCTACATATTTGATGGTTTTCTTTGCTCGCCCCGGACGCACACGTGGAACAATTTCTCCTCCATCTGAATCTGACATAATGGGCACATTAAAGCTTTCGTCATCTGCAGGTTTTCGTTTCTAAAATGAGGGGGAAAAAAACAAAAAAAACCAAAACATTTTAATGTAATCCAAACACATTTGACTTTGCTTATTTTAATTTGTAACAATCACTTATAAACAGGAAAGAAGGTCAAAACTAAAGCAGAGGAAAACACAGCAATCATTGTCTTATTTCCAGATTTTACTTCAAAAAGCAGAACTGTAGGTTAAATATTAAAAACTACTGATTTGCAAATTCTCTCTCAAAGAGTAACCCGTCTTCTTGAGCACACAATTCCAAGCATTAGAAGGAGTTGGTGTTTTATCACTGTTAACCTGAAGGAGATTGATGCAACTGGCCAAAAATTACTAAATCAGGTTCCGCTTCCAGTCATTGCCGATTTAACACTCACTTGATTCTTTACGATCTTTATTGCTGCGGTATCTTACTTTTGTGCCACCCTAGACCGAAAGGTGTTTTGCAAATTGCATAACTGGATAAGACTTACTTGAGATGTAGTTTAAACAGTTAAAGAATGTTTCATTGGATAAAGCCAATAATTAGAGTGATTCAGCCAGATCCATATACTTACATCTATACCATACAAAACGAGCAAGGCAGGATCTTACCTTTAGTGCTGTGGATTTCTTCAATGCACCAAAATCAGAGTCGGAGTCCTCTGTCTCGGAGTTCTTTCTCTTGCGGGACTTTGTTGGTTTTGCTGCCTTCTTCACTGCTGGGAAGTCGTCATCGGAACCAGAAGTGATTTTCTTTGTTGCCGTGGATTTGGTTTTCTTTGGTTTTGAAAGTGCTTCCAAAATGGAAGGCTGATTATCTAGAAAAAAAAAAAAATGGACACGTCAAAACCCTTTCTACGCAAGAAGAAATTTGTCTAAGAAGAAATAAAACGATTCTGAATGTTTAATAAAGATATATTCTATTGACGGTGTTGGAATTTCACTGAAAACCTAACACAATCAAGTTTAAAAAACAAGTCAAAAGTAAAAAAAAAAAAAAAAAAAAAATTAAAAAATTGAGAAGAAAGAGCCTGCCGCATGACATTTTGTAGTTTCACAGCAGCTGTTGCTAGTAACTGCTGTGGGGATAAAGGTTCTTATTGAACATTCATCAGCATCTTTGTTGTACTTGCATTCAAGTGTGATGGTATGACAGTGACGTAACTCCTGGTGCACAAGGCATTGGGGGAGAAATTGCAACCTAGGGAGAGCTTCAGGTAAATATATCCACCTTCAGCTTCTCCTCTGAGCTGTTACACAACAAACACAAATACCCTTGAAAGTGACAGAACCATTCTAATGTGAAAGCATCCTTGCACACATTCCATACAACCATCCAAAATTAGAGACACTGAAAATAATGACAAATAACTGCTACTGACTAAACAGTACTCGTATGTTTGCAAGCTTTGGCCTATATGCGGCCCTAAATATCATTTAAAATTTGTTTATAAAATAATGCAAAATAGCAGCACTGTATCAGTGATGACAATTACTAAAAACTTTTCTTGGATGACGAATTAATTCTGTAGGAAAGAGGGGAACGCACACAACTGCAATCCATTCAATCACCTAAATACTTCAACTACACTCCATACTCTTTTCTCTCTCCATACAATAACTATCAGCAGCAGCTTACCTTTCTTAGATGCTGCAGGTACTGCCTTCTTAACCCGTTTTTTGGGTGCGGGCTTCTCTGCAGCAGCAACCGGGGCGGACGGAACAGAAACAATGGGTTTGGGTGGCTCCTCGTCATCACTATCAAGTGTTATCGTTGGAGCAACAGGTTGAGCTAGAATACAAGTGGCACAAATTACTGGCAATCCAAGATGTACAATTCACAACCCTGGCCCCGCCAGACTATTTGAGAATTCATTAGGAGTTGTATGAAAGGATATGCTGGTTTCACATGCATTTCTGCCCCTAATTTGGTTATATTATTTGAAAGATTAAATTTCAAACATAAATGATCTGATAAGGCTCTCTCTTAACCAAAGTAAAATGGGGCACAATAGTGTTTAGATAAAATCTCAAAAACGCTCTGCATATTAGCATTTGTACAGCGCTATGGCACTTGCTGCTGATAGAGAAAAAAAAAATATATATATATGAAAAATTTGAATTCGGTTTAATATGTTTTGTTGGCACTGGCACATACAGATACATACACCTTGACACACATCGGCACATACAAACACAGATACACACTGTGTCAAAGTGTGTGTGTGTGTGTGTGTGTGTGTCAGATACATGCAGACACCAGCACACAGAAACCTTGACACACAGAGTGTCAAAGTGTGTGTATCTGTGTGTCACTTTGTGTGTGTGTGTGTCAGATACATACACACCGATACCGGCACATACAAAGATACACACAGAAAAATACAGATGCTGTGTGTGTTCAAAAAAAGAAAAAAAACAGATGTTTATGTAATAGCGTCAATTTTTTTTTGTGGGGGCGGAGGGGGGGTTTGATGCACTATGTCAAAGTGTTCCACAGGAAAAATTTAATTGGGAAACCATGCACTAGTAATTACTGCAGTAGAGCTTACTGGCGTGGAGAAACAAGAGAATCACTTCACAGGATGTAACAGTTTCACTTTAAGACTGGCAAAGTCTTATGGGATGTTCATGGTTGCAACAGTCTAGGATAGGTTTTAATTTTTAAAAACTTACTTTTCTCAAGAGGAGCAGGTACATCCTCTGGACTCGTAGGTTTTTTAGCCTTTTCAGCTTTCCTATTAAATAAAAATAAAAGTTAGGACAGGTTTAACAATATAAAAAGTTACTATGCTACGAAAAAAAACAACAACACAAATCAACACACATCTGAATGTTTATTTGTCTCAAGTCACCCCAAGTCTGCCAACTCCAAGATGTTGCTGAATCTGGGTCCATTGCATTGAATGGAAACATGTAAAATGCCTATATAACCATGCCCAGCTAGGCCATATAATAAGTAACTTCATGTGCAGTGGAGGGGAATGCAGTTGAAGCTATTTTTGTAAATGCATGGATTATGTGTGATGGTGCCTGGAGACTCGCTTTAAATATTTTAAACTTGCTTGTTCATCTATGGGTGCTGCATTTGAATTAGAGAAGCATGTTTGAAATATGGTTAACATGTTTAAGGCTTTCAGTAAAATCACTCACTTGGGGGCAGCTCTGGGTTTTCGAGCAGGTTTGGCAATCACAAAGGAATCTTCTGAATCAGAGTGAGAGCTAACATGTACAGCATGCTCAAAATCGCTCTCATCCGACTTGTCATTTTCATCCTCGTCAGAGAGACTGTATTTAACATTTGCTATAAGAGAAATCAGGGTGCATGATTATTTGTGATTTGTGCCCAGGGTGTCCCTTTAAAATGATATGAACCTAGGACAACGCAAAAACATTTTCAACCACAATTAAACCATATTCATCACAAACCTTCCAGAACGATTTTAAATTAATATTAAAGACTCAGGTTGAGTCTAATTCGCCAGGAAGTATGCAGAGTGAACTTATACTTAACGAAAGGCTAAAACATATGCCACGATAAACTACTTACCAGCCGCACGACGGGGCTGGATTGCACGTGGCACTATCTCTTCATCTGATTCACCATCAGACTGTGACATTATTTTAGGTTCCTTCTTCACTGGCTTGAAGTTTAAGGTCGCCTGCTTCTTCCCCTTTGTTGCCATGGTACCTATTATAAAACAAGACCGTGTGAACAAAACATATGTTGCTTCCACTCCAAGTGGGATAAGGTCAAATAAATAAATTTACCTGGCTCCGCTTTGGTTTTCTTGGACAATCTCTCAGCCAGACTTAGACTTTCTGGGCTGTTTTCTGGAGAGTCCATAGTGTCACCTTCCTCATCTCCAAACTCCATTCTCTTTGCAATGTCTTCAGACTAGTAAAAACACAACTTCATTAGTTTTTAAATGGTTTGAAACCTTCAAAGGGACACTACAGGCAGTGACACAACTTTAATGCACCGGAGGTTAATAAGGTTTTGAATTCATTAACGTGTTTTTTTTTAATAGTATTAGCCAGTCTTATAACGTTGTGTTTGTGCATGCAAAATAAATAAATAAATACTATGCATTAAAGTTGTATTGGTGCTTTAAGTGTACCTTCAAATGCCAAAGGGGAATAGCATGGTCACAAAGGACAAATCTCGTCACAAGAACAAAAACGCATTTTGGTTTCGGTCTGCATCTTTACCTGTGTTGTGATCATTGGCAAATACAAGATAGGAGCAGTTAGGATCAGCTCCCCTCATGCATTTATCAACTTTTGATAGCACGCAGAAAATTTTTAATGCAGGGAAAGTGATTAATAGATACAGACCCGTTCCAGTGAAGCCGTCTGTGTTTAGTTTAATTCCCTGTAACTCAAAGCCCTACATTCCCTTGGAGGAAATTGTGGGCATATCATGATAGTGGAAAATGATGGTTGAGTACATTGCAAGGGTGAAAACTTGCTTTGGAGCTTATTAACAAAACTAGTGCTTTTTAGTAGTAAGAGACACTCGAAGACAATGTGAAACTATTTTCTGCACATGCTGCTACACTAAAATTGTGGGGCCACCTCTCATGAAGAAAAAAAAAATATATACCATGGATTATATGTTACTTCAGGTGACTTACCTGAAGCTGGCCGCCATAGCCATCTGGGGGAACTTCAGCTATTGGTCTCCCAGGAGTCCATGTCAGTGCTTGTACATGCGGGAGAGTACAACACTGATGTCTTTGGAGGAACCTGCAGGATCCTCTATAGATAATTCCTTTTCCCCTCACAGCTGTCACTAGTGACAGCTGGGGACAACTGACAAAAAGTGATGGCAGTGGCTCTGTGAGGTTATATTCTACATTGAGAGTTTATACTAAAAAATGGATACACTATGGGAACTGTTTTTAAACATCTTAATTCTACTGATTTAAAGTATTAAAGTTAATTATAAGATGTATAATTTAGTGTAGGCAAAGGCTTTACCTTTATTCGCTTTTTAGTTTTCTTTGAGGCTTCGGCTTTCATTGCGGTTGTGATCCTTGGAATAACCCTTCTTCCATGAGGAGAGGGGAGGACCTCCTCCAACTGCATCTTTTTAACTTGGGTTCTTCCACTTTTGCCCTTTACCACTTTACCAGTTTTGGTAACTTGTTCATCTTCCCTTTCCTTGGCTTCAACAATCTGTTAAGATAAAAAAATCCATGAGTGACAGTCTATTGTATAGTGCATCCAGTTACAAGCAGTAATGCTATGAAAGAATGGAAAGCTATATATTGTGTTGAATGACCCTTAAAGGGTAAAAATATCACAATTAAAAAAATTTTGCACGTTCCCTGGGACCTAGAGTATTCAATGCAAAATACAATAACCGCTTAAAAACAACAACAACAACAACTTTGGCAGAGTCAAGGTTACTCCTTAAAGGGGAATTTACCACGGATTCAAAGTGCAAAGTGAATTTCAAATGTAAGGCCCAAAAAGCCAAACTAAAAAAAAAAAAAAAAAAACATTTAGCTTGGTTACCAGTTTGGCTACTTTGGCCTTACTTTGAAAAGCACCTGAATGAAATGTATTCGCTTGAATAGAAGCATTGAACATTGAATGTGAAGACTATTGCATGTCAAATCCAAGGAAGTCTTGTCTTTATTTTTCCCAAAAGCAAGACACAGAAGCCACATTAAAGCAGATATGTTAAATGGAAACTGGTCTAAATGGTATTAAGAAAAATACACAAAAATAAGTGCCTAATGACGTGAAGTCTGATGGAGAGAACATGTTTAAGATATGCCGGATTTGCCAGGATATCATACCATTCCCCCAAACTAATAGGCAAGTCACAATTTGGGACACAAAAGCAAAAGCCCAAAGATAGACAAGTTTGTGCGAAAACATTTCATGAAGAACTCTGCAGAAGCCCTGATAGTTTTGCTAATAAATCCCAAGAATTCTGGCACACCTAAACACCTCATCTTAACACCAGAGTGCTCAAGTGCTGGACAACAATGGGAAGCATGGTTTTGGCTCAGTATTACTTACATTCAATTCTTCAACGAAGGCAGCAAGATCATCCTTCCACAAGTCAGGAGGAGATTTCTTTTTTAGGTTTTGGAGCTCAGTAACCTACAGAGAGATCACAGATAACACCATTATTGAGGATGGCATTCCTCAAAGTGTGCAGACTTAGAACACACACAGTTCAGATATCCTGGATAGGGAACATATGCTTCATAATGTGTACCTTTGTATCTCTTTGCTTGCAAAGCTCATCCTTCTTCTCTTTGGTCAGGAACCACAGAGGCATGTTGAGGAGGTAATTAAAGTCTGGCCCTGAAGATTTCTCATCTGTATTTTCTTCCTCATTCTCCTCAATCAACTCTCCCGTTTGTTCCTTGAAGGGAAAACAAAGTTGAGGAGACCTTTCTTTGCTAAAGATCTGTTTCCTGACCTTCTATAATAACTTCTTTGAACACTTAACTAATTAAATGTAATTAATTTAAAACTATAATATAAAATACCTTCTCTTGAGTGGCCTTCCAAGCCTTGACGGGGTCAGAGTCATATCCTCTTTGGATCAGTATCTGAATGAGTTCTTTCTTGGGCTTATTTTCTAGATAACAATACAACATTGGCAAGTTAGCACAGGCCCCGAATCGACCATTTGAAGCTATATTGCAAAGTTTAGCATTTTCTTACCGATTACGATTTTGCCCTCGATCTTTTCAAGAATGAAGCGAGCTTGGTTGGTAAGTTTGGAGGCCTCAGCGGTTAACATGCCCACTAGCCAATCCTTCCTCAATCCGTAATAGCGAAGCCGCAACTCGTAGAATTCCTTCAAAATGTCCATTACAGTTTCATATTTCCTTAGGCAACCCACATGGTCAAAGAGTACCTAAAGCAAAAGGTTGTGGTTACTTGACTTAAAGAACCAAAAACCAGATCAAGACTTTTACCAAATCACTATGCAAGCTAGATCTAAACCAGTGTTAGGAGAACCGGGAATTGGGTAAAAGCAAGCATGAAGCATTGCAAAACAACTAACAACTAAAACTAATAAATGAGCAGAGAATCTTGTGACTGAGCACCAGGCTAGCTTTTCCAATTTAGGATGCCCTGAGTTGCTTTCTCAGGACCGTATCAGTGTATCTGGAACTAAAAACGCTCTAGCAGTACCAGTCTGAGGATGGGTCCCTTGTAAGTGCTTTAATAGATGTTTTACTATGCTTCACTATGCTTCCTCCCCCCCACTATAAAACTGGCACAGTCATCCCCACAGCAAAAATTAGTAGCACAAAGAATCTTTATGAAATATGCATATTGACTGTTGAAGTGGGCGGACCCTGACCCAGCGCTGAGGGACATCGACGCTGGATACAGGTAAGTCACTGAAGGGGTTAAACCCTCCAGCAGCTTGGGATGGGGAGTGAGGTGACCTGTAGTGCCAGGAAAAGGTTTTTCCCCCCTGGCACTGGAGAGTCCCTTTAACATTTGAGAGCAACAATTTCTTCTATAAGCCCCAATGCTGTGAGTTTTAACCACAAATTGAATCTAACAGGTTGGCGCAGAATCCTGCGAGTTAGTGTCCTACTGAAGTGGTTATAGTACTATGGTTAAGAGATCATTCAGTTGACTCTAAAGCTAACCAGAGTCTTAAGGAGAAAAGCAGAAAAGGGAGCTGCGGCCACTTTGTGGGACCCAGGTAAGCTGTCAAACAGTACTAAATTTATTTGACCACACAGTGTGACAGCGCCAAGGCACTCATAGCCACATATGTATGGTGCTTGGAGTGTTCATGTATCAAACAAATGGTGTAAACTGAAGATTGTGGAATGGAAGAAACGACATCAATAGCAGAGAAGACAAACCACATGCGGTAAAGATAGACCACTTACCATGGAGTTACAGGTGAGAGGGTTTTGAAGTTTAAAGACTTTATGCAGACCTGCTGCTTCAGCCTCTGCCAACTTCTCCGGCGTCATTTTGACAACGAACCTCACAGTGGTATCGGTGTGGTACTCTTTATAGTCTGTAATTAGTGGGGGAGTTTTATCTGATCCGTTCAACATCGGCTCCAAAACCGCTTCTTTGTAATTCTAGGTTTCAGAAAAAAAAAAACCACATAAGTCTAAGAGACCAATTAAAATAGTGTTTAATTTGGATTGGGCAACACAAGGCAACTGAAGACAGACAATAAATAAAGGAATATGCAAAGGCGTGAAACAAGCTTTTGTAAAATGTTATATAGTATGAAAAAGATGAGCAACACAATAAGATTAACAGATACAACAGAATCAGAGACAAGTTTATAATGAGCAATAACTTACCTGGGTCCATGTTCTGATAGGGAGTTCACTGATTTCAATAGTAGTGGAATCCAGCACAGAAATTTCACCATTCAAGATAAACTGATTCTGACCAACCTCTTGAATGAGCCCTTTGAAATTCTTGTAACTGGGAAGCTATAACAAAAAAAGGCACAACATTTCCATAAACAAATCTAAAACTGTTTGTAGATGTAATTACATTTCTTTTTAAAAGGCCTAAAAAAAAAAAAAAAAACAACCCATGTAGGATTGTGTCCTTTATTCTAGGGAAATTTGTCAGGCCTTGCTCTAATACATCTGCCCAATGATGTATAGAAAGTGACATGGCAGCAGAGTGGAAGGGTGGAGGCAAGACGTTTACCATTGGCTGTGGTTCTTCGCCTTCCAGCATACGGCGAATGTTGTTTACAATCTCTCGTACATCATAGTTTGGGATTCTGCAGGACCAGCCAGTGCCAATGCCCTCAGCACCATTTACCAGCACAGTAGGTATAATGGGAATGTACCACTCCGGCTCAACCTTCTGATTGTCATCATAAATGAACTTTAGAACACTGTCATCCATTGGTGGGAATAGGAGACGTGCCAACGTGCTGTAAAGACAGGAAAGCATATATTACGCTATCATTTTAAGTCATCACAGTTCTGTCATCTGTCAAAACTGAAAAGATTTCTAACTAATCTAAAGTATCACACGAAGTGGTACTTCCAGTGATGATATTCGGAGTACATTTTTTATTTAGGGAGACAGTGTAAAACCCTGAAATATTAAGCACTAATTGCCTTTTCAGCACAATTCCAAGACACATCTCAAGGATCATTACAGATAAATAACATTCCAATCTTATAGCACATGACTTAAAATTTCAAGTACTCTGCTACTAGCCAGGCCTTAGAAGTTACTCACCACAGTAAGCCCAGAGTTAAAATCTTCACTTGCCATTGGCTAATGGGAATTTTGTACCCTGCTCTAGAATATTCTCATAAATTTTATGTTCAGGTAGATTTTTAAGACAATCCTTAGTCAAACATGCACACCGTATATCCTTTGCAAGTTTTCAGTGACATTTAGACAACCATTTCACAACACATTTCCTAATTGGAAGACTCAATCCGTACATTTTCTCCCTCTGAGGTTCTTGTGCAATACATTATTAGAAGATAGCATAACATTTGCACGTTTTGCATCACTCAATATCTGAATGGTCAAAACTCCAACAGTTTATAAAGATGGGGGAGGAAATCTTTGCCAAAATGGCTGTCTAAACTCCAAGATAACTCTACTCCAGAGTAGTTTGAGTGCGGACTGTGCCCATTGCTGGCTGAAAACTGCTTAGTTATTTGGCAACACGCACAGGAGAGTTTCAAATGATGGATAACGCACCTGAGCATGGTGAAGATGTATCGAGGGCTGGCCGCATCTTTACCACCATGCAGTCTGGTACCAAACTGTCCAATGGGCTGCAGAAGATTGATGTTGTTGCTTCCCACGAAGTTTTGTGCCAAATTAATAATTGTCATCATCAAGGAGGTCTGTAAATGTATCAGGACAGGTGGGTAAGAACATGGCACATCAGAGCTCACTTACAGTTTTAAATATGCATTTCACATGTTAAATTTTATAATGGACCTGTGACTTGAGACGTTTTACAAAAAAATAAAAAATAAATAAACCATAAACCCTGCATGTGGTGTATTCATTTGTAATATTTAGTTATTCTTTTGCCTTATTCCGGATATGTCACAGTCTCCTAGTTTGCCACAATGAACGCGAGTCTCATTCAGGGGGATCTAAATCCATTTTCATAAAAAGGAATCATAAGTATCATGACAACTAATGCCCATTAAAAAGGTTATATTGCAAGTTGCTTATAAACACAGCAGTGTAGACAAGTATGAGAGGCTTTTAATTTGTGGAGTTTCTTCCTGAATTGGGAAGAGGCTTCACACTGTCTATGCAAGTGCGTCATAACCGTCATACAAAAATGAGAGTCACTAAAGATGGTCAAAATAAAGTCACTTGCAGTCTTGAGTGTACCGAAAACAACAAGGCATTATCAGTCCAAGATAGATCACATAAGACAGGAGTTTGGATAAAAAGGTCCACTTTACCCATACAATTTTAACTAATTGCGCCATGCGACAGCATTCTCAAATAGCCAACGTGTATTCTTTAAAAGAGTGAATCATGGCACCCAAGATTTTTCAAGACGTATATGTAGAACACAATGGCAACCAGGTGTATGCTCAACATGTATCGAATATCCCCAAAAAGTGAATGCTTATCCTGTTATTTTTTAAAGAAATACTGGATTTAAATATCAGAACGCCGTTAGCAGAACCTCTAAAGTCCACACAAATTAGATTGGGCAGGGTACCTACCTTTAGGGAAAAATAAATAATAATTTAAGAATATTCTTCTGATGCAGCTTTCCTCAGCTTAATTCCAGTGTTTTGGAAACCATCCAATACATTGTTGAGGCTTAAGCCTAAGATAGAATTCTATTAACATTTGGCAACCTTGGCTACATTAGTTAGTGGGGACATTTGTGAATCTCCTTCACTTTAGAAAGGGATGCTATATCCATCGTGTATGGGCACTGAAGTATTTTCATCATGCAACATGTTCACATGTATGTGGGACATAAGTACGTTATTGTATGTTATTTCATTCTGATGTACTATTTTTTATTTTTTTTACTACGTATAATGAGCATGACTATTTTCCAATAATTTAAAACAAACACCACACTGCTTTCACAGGGTATTTTGCCAGATTACAGTTTGTGTTTTGGGCAGAATAATTCTTACCTCACCGTGATGGTACGCAGACATCTCTGCTACAGATCCAGCCAGCTGGGCCACCTTCACCTCCCTCTTGTCATTTCTTTTAAAGCAGGTGAATAAGACCTTCCTCTGCCCAGGCTTAAGACCTTTTCGGAAGAATAATAGATTAATGAACACAACCCGTTTTTTCAGAGGCACAAACTTACCCCTGTGCCCATTGTAGCAGATAATTAAAAATCCAATATTCTATTGTTTTACTGCAGTGTGCATTCTCTTAGATATAAACCTTAAATCAATGGTCAAATTAATCTAGCTTGTGTGAATACCATAACTGTTTTGAAAGTGAAGACTATTTTATCCACTTGCAGTACTCCTGTATTGCAGCACCATATGGAAGCCTAATGTTTGCAGCCTCAATATGCATGTTCTACAGCCTTTTAATGTATATTCTAGCATTTGATATACAGGAGTTCGGCGGAGGGTCAGAGGAATCTGTTCAAATGTTTGGCTAAGCTGTTCGTATAATACCAGAGTTAGCCGACCATGGGCCTTGAACAAAAATTAAAAATCAAGCAGGCACTCAAGATTCATATGCCAATACCAAAAAACATGCCAGTTCCCACATATGTAGCACCATTTAAAGGGTCCAAAGCAATGATGGAAGTGATCAGCAGTCAGGGCCAACTGCTAAGAAGCCTGCAAGTACAATAACTGTCAACCTGAATACCAACTGAACAATGGTGTGGCTTGCACTAAAGTGATCAATCAATTTCTATATTTGGTTCCTGCTTTTTGCCTTCAATACAGGAGTTCAGTGGTCCCAACCACAAGGTTAACATTCTAATACACATGAGAATTACCAGTACTGGTTTGCCTTCCTTGATACTAAGCGCTCCCTCTGAATGACCCGTTTACAAATTACTCTGACAAATGGAAATGGCTGACACATTTTGACTGTTTTGTCATGTTGCAAACGGCTAAAGAACACTGTTTAATTCTCAATACATAATTTGCTGGACTTGTATGAAACATCAAAGAATATCCTTACCATCAACCAGCGATGGTATGGATCGCTCATTGTCTGAATTTGAGAAGAGAATCAACTCTTTGTTAATGAAGTCATTGTAGGTCAAGTGCTTAGTGGATTTTCCATACAAAAATTCCTGGAAAACAAAAACCACATTTCTTAGTAATAAATAATGTTTACAGGAAAAATATCAAGAAAATGTTTATTTTTTTCTCTTACACCAACGTAACCATATTCCAAATCAAATCCCTTAAACATCATTGGAAATGTTGGTATATTAAATAATCTCACCTCTGGAAGACCATGCAGTCTCCTCTCCCTCCTGTCTTGCATAAAATTGGTCAACCACTCCTTACGGTCCTCCACTTTCTTTCGGCTAAAGGCCTAGAAACAAACAGACAAACACAAAAAAAGATTAGCCATGCAGTGCTCTTTTTCTGCAATAAAGATTGCGTGAGGTTAAAATAAAGCTACGTAATCTATTAATGGTCCCTAAAGACCAGTATGAAAAACCCTACTAATTGTGCACATGCTGCTATATACGGTGCTATCACCACGGTTAAACTATTCAGATATATGAACTTCAAAGGCTGGTTTGTTAGGACAGAATTATTGCAATTGATACTTAAAGGGTTACACCAAGCACCATACCTACAAGTTATTTGAAGTGGTACTGGTGCTCTGAGTCTGCATGCGCAGTGTTTCAGTAGGAAACAATGCACTTTTGCTGCTGGAGGTGTAAACTCCATCTTCGGCGATATCATTAGCAAAAGTATGCATTGTATGCTGAAAGACTACCAATGAGAGCAGCCCCTCTTCTGTGCCGCCCTCCAATCCACCCATTACTCCTTGCAGTGAGTGGATGTGGTGACACTGGAGGGTGGATCATTTCAGGTGTGAAATGACAGGAATGTAATTTTAAGGCTACTCCAACTAAAAACAGTGTTTCCCTAAAAAAACAACAAAAAAAAAAAAAAACAACAACTTTCAACTGGTGTAAACCTCTAAGGGACTTCTATATTTCAATTACAGTTCACATTAACTTTTGAACTAAGTTTATGTGAGATTTAGGTTACTAGAACCAAACTGTTTTGCATGGTCATTTAAATGAATTTAATTTAGCAGCAGAGGTAGTTCTATTTAGATATTAACATTTTTCTATTAGTTACCAAGGTGATCGCAGCATCATCTCTAGGGCCATCATATTTAAAAGGAATTCTATGTCTCTCCATCTCTGCAAAGTATTCCTTAGCTTCCTTAGATGTGCTCGTCCCCAGACCTGTTTATTGAGAAATGCAAAAGTTAGAAAAGGACATGCTTAATTTAGGGTTGGTCTTTTACTGGTCTAAACTTCAAAACAGATCCCAAATATTCTTGAATCACTTTACTTCAATAGCATTTACCAGAGTTCATCTTTAAAAAACACATTCACGGGGCGTGGCCTAACTCCGCATGGCAGTAGTCGCATAATTTGGGAGCTCCGCCATTACGTGGGCTTACACAGCGTGGAAACCAGCGATACTCACCCACCACATCTCCCATAAGCCGGCGAGGGAACAGGGGAGGACATGACCACTAAATCCTCCAAAAAACTAAAACAGAAGACGCTGCACTCCCACCTCATGATGGGGAACAATGGCGTCCAAGATGGCGCCGACGGAGCGCACTATTCCGCCTCGGATCACGAGAGTGGAGAAAGCCTGGACCCCCCTAGCATCACCAACAACCACCTAGCCACCGATGCCTCGGTGAGCAGCATGCTACAGTCGCTCCAGACTAACCTGAGGTCGGATTTTTCCAAGATGGCGGCGGACGTAAGGGCAGACATTCAGGCCCTGGGAGACAGAACAGCACACTTGGAGGAGGCAACGGAGGGGTTAAGAGAGGCCCATAATGAGCTGGCAGAAGCGCACACAACATTGCAGCGAAAGGTACAATTCCTAGAGAGCAAAATCGCTGATAACGAGGACAGGGACAGGAGAAACAACATACGGCTACGAGGTGTCCCTGAAACAGTAGGCCCTCAAGATCTGGCCACATTCGTTAAAGAGCTGTTCAAGGCGCTCATTCCGGCATTGGAAACCTCAGACCTGCGCTTAGATCGCACTCACAGATTACCGAAGCCGAAGCAATTACCTCCAACTACACCGAGAGATGTAATCACCAGAATCCATTACTTTGAGGTCAAAGATCGCTTAATGCAAGCATCCAGATCTAACCCATCATTGCCAAAGCCGTTTGCTGATATCAAACTGTTTATTGACCTGTCAGCGGCAACCATGACCAAGAGACGAGCGTTTGCACCTGTAACCGCAGCGCTTAGGAATGCTGCTATCCCGTACAAATGGGGATATCCCACGAAGATACTACTGAAACGAAATGGAGTGGATTTGGTAATCTTTACCCCAAGAGATGGCGCAAAATTGCTCAAAGAATGGAACATCCCAATGGCTCGACTTGAAGTAGCCAGTTCTCCAGCACCCTCATCACCCAGAGAACAACCCCGAGACTACCGACCTGTCCCATGGCACGCGGCAGAACCACAGAAGACGCCATACCATCAAGCGAGGCCCAAGGATGTAGAACACCACTGATGGAGTACAGATATGTATCCCACACAAGAACTATACAACTAGTTCCCCCCCGGTGCACCCTCGCAGCTGTGCTCACTTGCAAGGTGTCTCACAGCCGAGAGCCCACCCAGGCGGAGAACCGCTGTACTGTTTACGTTACTTAATTGGCACTGTTATTCTTTTTTCCTAAACTTAATTGTACTGTTAAGAAATATTACCTATACGGTATATCAATAGAGGGACGCACACGTATAGCGTTGCGCCCGGTAACTCAGGGCACTATAATCAAAAAAAAAAAAAAACAAATTTTTTTTTTTCTTATACTAGGTAACATAGGAAAACCGTAACAGGTAATACCTACCAGCACCCACAGAGCCCCACTCGGCTTACTTAGTAAGCCATTTCTTTACCCGTCGGCAGATTTCTGCACTAAGCCACCCGGCTAACGGGTTTTGTATATAGTTTAAGTTGTATTGTTATACGTTGATCCCTACCGCACCCCTCCAACTCCCACCCACGCACTTGACGAAATAAGGTGACACTAGGGGCTGAGTAGCACGGCATAGCCTTTACCTCCCTGCCCACCTGATTATAGTGGTGAGGATGTCAATCACTGTACTTTCTCTCAATGCCAAAGGGCTGAACACGCCCCATAAGCGAAGACTGGCACTTTTAGAAGCCAAAAAATTTAAGGCGCAGGTAGCCTTCTTTCAAGAAACCCATTTTAAATGGGGTTCACGGCCTGAATTTAACTCCCCCTGGTTTCCAATAGACCACCACTCCTGCTGCTCCACAAAAAAAAGAGGAGTCTCTATTTTAATAAGCAAGAACGTCACCTTTGAGATGGTCCGTAAGATTAGCGATAAGACAGGTAGATATCTCATCATTCAGTGTCACCTTAACAACAACCCCTTCACATTAATGAATGTATATGGACCCAACGCTAACCAAGAAATGTTTTTGCACCGTATATTTGCCTTGTTGAATATGTACAGCTTTGGGGAGGTAATACTTGGAGGCGATACCAACTTTCTTCTAGATAGTTTTAAAGATTCCTCTGCCTCACATACTATAACACCCAACACCTCTAAGAAACGGCTCACACAATCACATAACATATGCGATATCCTAGCAACACATGATTACGTTGACCCTTGGAGAATTACACATCCCAACGAAACTGATTACACATGTCATACAGCGGTACACAATAGCTACTCCAGAATTGATAGGTTCTTGGTCAGAACCACCTCCCTTCTCAAGATACTAGACACTACCATAGGGGACATCACGTGGTCCGACCACGCACCAATCACGTTAACGATCAAGGACCAGTTCCCTCAGACTGGCCAGAGAACTTGGAGGTTAAACAACACCTTGTTAACAAACACACACATAGTCCAGGAAGTCACACAGGACCTACAAAACTACTTCGAGGACAATGATAAGCACAACACTGATCCGGATTATGTCTGGCTAGCACACAAGGCGGTCATTAGAGGCAGCTTCATAAAACATGCCAGCCATGCCTACAAGACACAAAGAGCACAATACTTAGCCCTTATCAGTGAGATCAAACACACCACACACAACAACAAACATGCACCCACCCCTGAGACACAACGAAAACTCTTGAGCCTGCAAACACAATTACGAGATATAGAGTTAACCAAAACAACCTACCTCTTACGAAAATCAAAACACAAATTCTTCGCGGCAGGGAATAAAGCAGGCGCTAAGCTAGCGGCGCAATTAAAACAAAAAATGATCGCCTCCAGGATTGCCTACCTCACCGATGGAAAAGGTCACAAAACTATTGACCCACGAGATATTGTTAATATGTTTGCAAATTACTATCGTCAGCTATACAATTTAAGTGAAGAGGGTACCACTAAGGTCCCAACTGTAGCGGACATAGACGGATTCCTACAAGACCTCTGCTTGCCCGCCCTGACACCGACCGCAATACAATCACTACGACAGCCTATCTCCTTAGAAGAGATCACTTCGGTGATCAAAGACTTACCCGCTGACAAATCACCTGGACCAGACGGTCTCACCAATGCCTATTACAAACTATTTGCAAATACCCTCTCCCCGTACTTGTTGAAACTATACAGACAGAGTAATGACAGAGGAGCCCTACCGGCTGAAGTACTTCTAGCACACATATCCACCCTCCCCAAGCCAGGAAAACCACCGACACACTGTAAAAATTTCAGACCCATCTCCTTACTAAATGGGGATGCTAAAATCTACGCCAAGATCCTTAGCAACAGAATAGCACCACTCCTCAGAAACTTAGTGCATAACGACCAGTCAGGGTTTGTCAGAGGACGGCAGGGCTCAGATAACACCAGACGAATCCTCAACATACTGACACATATGGAAAAAAACAACACAGGGGGCCTTCTCTTGGCGCTAGACGCGGAGAAGGCATTCGACCGCCTCAATTGGAAGTACATGTCTGAAGTCCTGAGGAGGTACAGATTTCCGCCCGAAATGATTAGAGGGATAGCGGCGCTGTATAGCGCACCAGCGGCGAGGGTCTCCAACGGAGGCTTTACGTCTGACAAATTCTCTATTACTAATGGGACGCGCCAAGGTTGCCCCTTGTCCCCCCTCCTCTACATTCTCTCGCTGGAACCTCTGGCGTTAAAGATCCGTACGAACCCTGACATAAGAGGAGTAACAGTGACAGGCCAGGAACACAAACTGGCACTGTTTGCCGATGACGTCTTGGTGTCATTAACAGACCCAGAGAAGTCATTGCCACACCTTATGAACACACTTAACGACTTTGGCTTAGTTTCCCACTATAAACTTAACCAAGATAAAACTCAGGCACTGACGGTTAACTTACCCTTAGAACGCACGCAGACACTACAACGACAACACCAATTTGACTGGAGACTCTCATCCCTCACATACCTAGGGGTCAAAATCGCAACTTCCATAGCAAAAATCGTAAAATTAAATTACCTACCCTTACCACACATGTGCAAGGCGGACACCCTAAAATGGAAACATGTACACCTATCCTGGCTAGGAAGGATTAACGCTTTCAAAATGTCTATATTACCCAAAATTCTTTATGTTTTCCGTATGCTACCTCTCACGGTACCACAACCTCTGCTTAAGAGCATACAACACACGTGCAACACCTTTATATGGGACAATAAAAAGCCCAGGATCCCTCACAGACTTTTGTACACTCAGGTCAAACAAGGAGGAGTGGGTCTACCAAACATTAACCAATACTATAAAGCCGCGGCGCTAACAGCCGGCATAACGTTACACTCTCCTAAAGGGGACATCAGCTGGGTAGACATGGAAAACGCCCAACTAAAAACACTAAATATAGTTGATGTCCTATGGACGCCTAAACACCTACGGGTCCCCAAACTAGACCTATTTCACTCAACGTCTCTGACACTTCGTACATGGGACACGTTTATGGCCACAATGGGGTGCAAACTTTCCTTCCATCCCCGGGCACCACTGACTGCCCTAAGAACCGCATCCCCCGATCTCCCTCTAACAAGGTGGACTAAGGCAGGAATCACCAACATCCAGCACCTAGTAGACAATAAAGGCGTAATAGCATTCGCGGATATACAGGCCAAATGGCACCTACCGATGAGGGAGGTATTTACCTACCTAAGACTCAAAGGGACCATACTGACTCATGTGAACCTACACAACAACACTCGGGAGCAATCACTAGTGGCGGGCGGGATTTTAGACAGATGCTGGGCCGCACCAAATAAACCAAAAGCCATCTCCCTCTGTTACAAAATGTGGGAGACCACATTACCACAACACACCCCGCTCTGTAAGACTAAATGGGAGGAGGACTGCTCCCTTCAACTCTCAGAGGACGACTGGGTCAGAGCAATAAATAGCCTCTCAAAACTCACTAGATGTTACACACACATAGAAGCGCATAGGAAGCTACTGTATAGGTGGTACATGACGCCAAGTCGGTTACATAAAATATACCCCAGTGTCACACCGACATGCTGGAGGTGTTCAAGGGACACCGGTACATTCCTCCACATATGGTGGACATGTCCAGTGATACAACCCCTCTGGACAGAGGTTAGGAGATTGCTGTATAAATTGGGCGTGACAAACCTATTGCCAAGCCCGCAAACATACCTCATGCTTCTGCTCCCCAGTGACCTAGCTAGAGAACACAGACAGGTGTGCGCCATCACGATACTGGCGGCCAGGAACCTTCTAGCGAAGAACTGGAAGTCGCACCTATGTCCATCTAAAACACAACTATGGGACAAGATTCAACAATACCATGTCTATGAACGAATGACGATGACCCATAGTATAGAATCACAACAGTTCCATTCAACATGGAAACAGTGGACATGTTTATACGACCAAGCCACAAATCACCAAAATCCACCTTGAGACCGTTAAATATGGCCTGACAGACTGTACCAGCACGCAACACCGTGCTCACAGAACCAACCTTTATCCTCCCGCACCAGACTGCTTTGCCCACAAACACCCAACAAGGGTAAACAATACGTGAGTGTAAAACTATACTAAGCAACCTTAAGTATGTGTATATCAGGTATATTGTTATTGTGGACACAGCCGCCTGCGAAACCCTAAATGTCACTGTCGAAAAACTTGATAACAAACCTTGTAACAGTCCATATTGTCTGCTTTCCCCCATTGTTATCCTTATAACTCCCTTCTCTTTTCTGTACCCCATATACTTGGAAATCAATAAAAAATTTGCATTTAAAAAAAAAAAACACATTCACACTAATACTTTTTATTGAACGTGTTCTTACTCCTTCTCATATTATAGAAGACTACGGTAAAGTCACCTGGATTACTTACTCTATTAGAAGGTTTGTACTGTGGCCAAGATATGTAGGGACACTGCCTGAGTTCAAGAGCAAAAAAATACAATGATGGCCTGTCTCAGGAGTTAACCTACAAGTCACTCCAGTTAAAAACAGAAGCCAGAGGGATCCTTTGTATCGTCATGGACTTTGTAAGCAATGCACTTTTTTGCAAACCAACTTTGGACATGTGTGAAATTTTACAGTTACAGGTTTGATCCCCAAACCGATTCATGTCTCAAAGAGCCTTCATATGCATCATCCAAATACACTTTATAGGAATTACGTACTTTGAAATCTTAAATGTTGTGTATAACCCTAGAAATCATAAGCAAGAATCATAGCCCTGGGCTCTTTATCAAGATTATGGGCACCATTTCCTGTTCATCAAGTGTCAGGAATGTTAAAACAAGTGTCATCAATGGCTTTGGGTCCTAAATGCAGACTGATGGCTAGTTCATCTGCAGTGGTGCAATCAGTGTCAGAAGAAAAAATAAATGCTATCTTGTAAAATGTTCTGAACTCGAAGAGATGCACATCGATGATTCAATTAAGTTTTAACCCAAAAATAATTCAATCAACAGGAATGGAAGGAGACGAAAACCTCCATTTGCTACTTTACAAAAGCAGATCAATAAAAAAGGCAGCTCAGAAACCAAACTTCACAATATAGAGGTGCATGCAACCAGCAGATGCAATGTTAATGCAGAAACAACATTTCCAGCGTAGAATGAATGGGAATACAACAGTTGTAACTTTCTTAATTGCATATACTGGATGCAAGAAATTACAGGACAACACTCACATTTTCAACTTTTGATTAAAAATGTTTTACATTCAAATGTAATGATTTTTTGTTGTTCAACATAACATCAAGCAGCTGCAGGTTCATGCAGAGCAAGTCGCAGTAGCAGACAAGTTAAGTTGAGCAGCAGTTGGTTGGTCATAAACCTGTGACTCAACACCAAGTAACATTCTTAATTTATTTAAAATTGAAGTGTAAAAAGAACAAAATAAGTGAAAATGTAATGACAGTTGCCCCTTTAACAAAAGAACCGTTTAAAGTCTTGTGAGGACAAAACATTGCAAAGTTAAAACATTGTTGCCGCGTGAAGAAAGTGCATAATAACCTACACCAGCAATGTGAACAATTCCATCACCAGAGGTTTGTAAATATAAAATGGTTGTCACTTGCCTGGTAGGGCACTACCACACAGGGTTTTATAACAAACCTTTGTAGTACTTTATTTTCCAGCTTTTGTGACCGTCTGTGTTGTTCTTCCAATCCTCAAATTCAGGGATACTGTAGAATGAGAGCTCCTGCTTGTTTTTGGTGACCTATGGGATAAGAGTTTAGCATTATATAAGCCCTTTAAACGTCAAGACTATGTTAAATCTCTGGTGTTTTAAGGGTATGGATGGTACGCACCTTGATAATGGGGGTGATAAACTCCTCCAAAAACTGATGCTTGAGCAAAGAAGGCCAGTTATGATGGATGAAGTTGATCAGCAATCCTTTGATATGGGAGCCATCTTGATCCTAAAAGTTCAAAATAAATTCAACATTAATTGCAGATTGGCAACTACCGGGTGCCATTTACTAAGGTGAGAATTCAAAGTGAATATCAAATTAAAGCCAGAGTAGCGGAACTGACAGCATTGCGGATTTAGAATATTTTTCCAGTTGGGCGATATTTACCTTAAAATGGAAATCAACACTTTAGTGAATAACTAATCAACAAAACGAACATTAATACTGTAGCAAAAAGTAAAAGATTTTCCTGTAGGAATGAATCACTAACTTCCACATAAAGAGTGAGAACTAGTGAGGAAGGGCTTCTGAAAAGTAGACAGTCATATAAAGACATGTTAAAATTAGACTGAAGGTATATGGATAGAGTAAAGCAATAAGAGAGGGCTGGGGGAAGCAGCTGAAAGGCCTCTATACCCATGTACGCCTTAAAGTGGTACTTACAACCTCACTCCAAAATGAGTATTTAATAAAGATAGAATCTTTATGAAAAATAATCAGATTGGCCATGTTGGAATTTAACACAAATACCAACCAAGTCAAAAGATTTACTGACAGAAAGTAGGGACAATGTTCGAGTATTGTTCCTCCGTCAAACAAAGCTTGACACAAGCCAGAGCTACCACTTTCAAGCCTTATGATAGCTCCCTGCTGCAACCAGTGATGACTCGAGGGAAATTCGCTTTCTTTGGAGGTCGTGCGGGAAAATCTCAATGCTATACACTCACGCGTGCACAAGAGTACCGTTCAGGCGCTAACTCCCTGCAGCTAGAGCACCTGAGAACCTCTCCTCAGCGATGTCCATGTCGAGGATCTTTGCCAATTATGCCAAGATTATTCCATGGACAATGACCACCTCAGTGCAGTGTTTCAGCGTGAAACATTTTATATTGCTGCCAGAGATGTAACCACGTCTCTGCCAGTGTCATTATCCAGTCTAACGAATGTCAATTCTGCAGAACCATGGCAATATTAGAAAGGAGCCTTGTTGCCCGATGGCAACCAGGCAAGAGAAATTACAAAACCATTTTGCCTTTAGCAGGGAATGGCAGCACTGTATTTCTAGTATGACAACCACTAGTGGTCTGTAGTGGTTATGGTGCTCAGAGTAGCCCTTTAGCACACACTCATAGTGGAGAGAGTCTTTGGCGCAGCAATGCTAGGACCTCTGAACATTTGCAATGAGTCTAACAGTCAAAATGGAGCAAGAGAAGGTTCCATTTTCACCAGTTTGATCTTTCAGTTTGCATTTTGTGTCTTAAGATGCCAGAGGTTTCTTACCCCTGAGCATGGAGAAGGCATAGGGTTAATGGAACAGAGTCTAGATACAGTAATTTAGTACAGAATTTAATAGACCTGTTAATCTAACAACAACATTATATATGTATGATTCCCCCAGCTATGCCTATGTGAAAGAACTCTTAACAGAGGACCACAAAGCAGGTTTTTTTCCCCATAAAGTCACACCTGATCTGTCATAATCATGATCTTTCCGTAACGAAGAGTCTTCAAACTTTCCATATCCTCGTAGTTCTTCTTGTACTGCAGCCCCATGATCTTAATGACGTTGTTTATTTCTGCATTCTCCATAATCTGCAAGACAAAACAAGAACAAGCTATGTAAACTACAATCAACAAATCACTGGAATCCTATAGCATCTCAAGCCATGATAGCCAGGTAACTGCAAATCCCATAATGCTTTGCTAGCACATGGATACAACTTCCAAAGCTTATTAGGGATTTAGTTATAAGACATTTTAGCAGCTATACCGCATCTAAAATGCTCTCTGAAAGAGAATGGTGCTCATCACCCTGCTTCGGGTGCTTTTTGACTAAGATTTGGATTTTATATTTAATGTTCCCAGAATTCCTTATTTCTGCAGCATGCTCCTAACAGTAAACCTTCAACAGGGACCCTGCGTGCAAGATCTGGTTACTGAAAACATGCAATATGCGATCACAAGCCTGACAATATAAAATGCCTAAATCTCTGCAGTTCACACGTGTTATCCAAAGGAGCCTAACTTAGTGAGAACATAACGTGGGCAACTTACAATCCTAATGAATGCATTATTGCTGACCGTTTCACTGAAGTATGGGATTATGAGAATTTTCTAATGCAAATTTTAAGCCTATTAAACTAAACGATTACAATATTAAAACAGAATTGAAGAAAATGTGCTTGCTTCTTACTGCACAAAGAAAAAAGCCATCATTTTGATTGACAGTTCTTTATTTCACTAGTAACACGCCAATTTACAGATAACCTACCTGTTTGTGTGAAGCTTCTCGAACGTTGAGCAGTTTGCCTCTAAGTGGGAACACTCCATACCGGTCTCTACCAACCACACCAAGGCCAGACACAGCCAATGTCTTGGCCGAGTCCCCTTCTGTAAGGATCAATGTACAAGCCAAGGAGTGCTTGCTACCTGCAAAAAAATAAATTGTAAAAGTGTGATTTAAAAAAACAACCAAAAAAAAAACAGGTTGTGCGCTATATAAACAGTAATTGCAGCATCTTTTCCCAAAATGTTGACACCAAAGTTCTAAAAAGAAGTCGGAAGAACGACAAGGACTCCAAATCTAGGGGATCAATTACCTGCATCGTTTGCATCATCCAGTTTTGGAACTCCCTTGATCTTAGTGTGCTTCACTGCAGAACATTTCTTATTCAGCATAGTCTGTGCTTTGAACTTAACCCAGTTCAAGATGCTTTCAACAATTCCACACGAGCTTGCCTAAGGTAGAAGTAATTCACAACATGTGAGTTGCAGTGCTAATTAGACATCAACAAAAATACACCACAATTGCTTCAGTGGTCCAGCTTGGGATAATTAGAAAGGAACCACCACCATCATGACAAAAAAATTAAATAAAAATATAAATATATATATTCAATTGATTGCTGAAGGCAATGCCAGCAATTGTGTACCTGTTGTGACATGCTCAGTTTAAAGCAAACCAATTTGATATTTTTCCTTGCCCAAATGGAACAATAAATGTAATATACAGTCTGTGACAGTTGTCAAAAGATACTCACAGCTTTAAAAAATTTCTCAGACAATGTGCATTTAGACCCAAAGCTTTTTGACTGCAAAGTCATGTTCTCCTTTGTCTGAGAGTCAAATGTTGGATTCTCAATCAAGGCATTAACGAAGATCCACATGTGATTCTTAATCTGTGGGTAAAAAAAAAAAAAAAAACATATAATTAGTGCAAGGTTCTTTGTCTTTTTCACAGTGGCAAATCACCCAATTGTTATATCAGCTCAGATAGATTTTTGCCAGTTGTAAAATTAAACACACCATACCTTATACTCTACAAAGTGTAGGAAGAGTCCCCACTCCACTGGAAAATGCACTGCTACTACAGTGAATTTAGTGTGGGCAGTTTATTGTGGCCAGATTAATATAGCTGTTCTAAAATGGTATTAAGATTTTAAAACAGCAGAACCTGGAGGTTTTTCTTAATTACACATGACCAGCTATTAAGCAGAGATTCTGTCATTTTACTTGTATACAATGAATTTAAAATAAACCGGATCTGGGATTGTAAAATATGCATATAGAATTCAGGATATTGCCAATTGCACAGAGTTTAGTATGCATAGTATGGCAAGTAAAACTTTATATTCTGTAGTTCAAATTGGGACTATACCCTAAAAGAGTTTCTGACCTGTATTGCTCAAAAAAAATAACAGTTAAAGATCTGGCACCATATTGGCTAAATGGCTTCATTGTAGATATTAATGACCATTTGACAGGAGAATTACATACCTGGAAAGGCTTCACACTGATACCACCCTTATTCTTCTTTTTCACAACCTCAATAAGTTTGGTTACAATCTGATCAGCAACATAGTCAACGTGTCTACCACCCTGTAGGGAAAATACATACATAAATAAATACAACTATTATACAGTAGGAACAAAACATGCATCGTGAATTCTCTCTCTGCTGGAGGACTAAATTCTACACAGACTAGAAGCACATCAAAACCATCATAACAGTTATTTAGCTCTCCAAACCACAGTTTGTGTGTGAATATTCTTCGTAAGTTAGACTAAACATAAGAAAGCACATGGATTATACCAAGTGTTAAGGAGCCACTAAAAGCAGCTAGACAACTTCATATCTCAACGAAGTTGTATGTGCAGTAGTCCTTTAGTTTTAGCAGATATGCGTACATTGCAGAGTCAGATACACCTCTTGTGGTTGTGGTCCTGATAGTTACTGTAGGTGCTTTCATTGTGAGAACAGAGTTAGCGGTGTCCTCACAAGTTAACCGCCATTTAAATCGGAGGAGCACAGTGCTAGTAGCCCATGCACTGTTGACCTGAATGCTCCATGTAGTTTCCAGACAACACGCAGGCTGGCAGAAAAGTTTAACATTTATAGAAACCAAGAAACTTACTTTGGTGGTAGCAATGCTGTTGACAAAGCTGATTTGCTGGAAGCCTTTTTCACTCATGCTCAAACACACTTCCCAGCGATCGTTCACAACCTCATGTAGAATTTTCAAAGGGTTCCCTGTTTCATCCAACTTATCCTTGGTGTACATATCCACATAGCTACGGAAACCAGACACCTAGTAAGCAAAAAAAAAAAAAAAGAAGAAAAAATAAAATTTTATATTTGTACAAATCAGAGTAAGGCCCATCCACAAAATACACAGCTCATACCTGCTAAAAAATTTTTTAAAAAAATAAATAAAAAATAGTTCTGCAGTGCACTGAGAAAGGCCAATTGAAAAGAAGCAACTGTGTCAAGGTAATTACTGGGGCCTTCTATTGTAGCACATTCATGTCATGGAACCCCATGCCGAAATAGGGGGCGGGGAGAGAGAGCGGCTATTGTCATTTTGGGAACGGGGTATGGAGTGTAAACACAAGAAACGATATAATAAAACATTTACAAAAATGTGAGGGTGTACTCATTTTTGTGAGATACTATAGATATGTAGGCTTATATTAGTGTTAAAATCAAAACCTATGGCAAACCTAAAGTATTTGTGGCAATGCTGCACTCCACCATTCGAATATGAGGAGGTAGAGTTGGAATTCCTTACTCCTATCACTTACAGGAAGTCTGTTCCCATTCAGAAAGACCTTCACACCCTTGCTAGATCCAGCAACGTCATAAGCTCTTCGAGACATTAAGGCAACAATATCCTTGTCCAAAATCTCCATCTTGAATTTGCTCAGATCTGGTTGGAAAGTGATACAGGTGTAATCTTCTCCATCGAAAGCTTTGATCTTTGACTCACCAGCTTTTGACATGTTGTCAGACCAGGACTATTAAAAGAATACAGTTTTCAGAAATTAAAGTCTTCAAAAGATAAGAGAGACACCCCACACACCTTTTTCCAAACTATGATTTTTTTTGCATTACACCCTTGTTTGTACTCAATACTAATAGACTAAAATCTACTGGTTGTGCTACATTTTTCACACAATACCTTTTTTATTATAAACTCATATTATGAATTAAGTCACATGCTATTAGCTAGATACACATGTAGGTAATGCATTAAAGTGTCACTTAACACCCTTTTCATAAATACTAGAAATATAAGGTGGACTTCTACAATCGGAGAATTGAGCAAACTATCTTAGCGATACAACATTAACTTGCACAAGATCAAAAAGTAAAAATAGAAAAACTCAGTGGTTAAGGCAAGTGTGTTCAAACATTAATGAGTCCTACAAGAAACTTGCCAAGGTATATAGTTGGCCGTTACGCTAGCATGCATCTTCTGTAATTAAAAAGAACATAAATATATATTTGTGTGTGTGTGTGTGTTTAGAAAACGCACCTGTTTAAACACTTTCTTGTACTCTTTGCAAGCAGTTTCCACTGTAAACTTGGTACTGAAAATGTTACACAGTTTGGCACCATAACCATTACGCCCACCTAGGAAGGAGAGGAGAAAAATGTAAATATATTGTAGCCTGCATCTCTGGGTCCATTAAAATTAAGTTCACATCAGATAAAACCAGCTGATAACATACCTGTTACTTTCTTCTGGTCATCATCATAGTTACTGGAAGTCAACAGCTGTCCAAAAATAAGGGCAGGAACATAGACTTTCTCCACCTTGTGCTCCACAACGGGAATACCTTTCCCGTTATTCCACACGCTGATTTTATTATTCTCACTGTTTAAATAAATAAAGCAGGGCATCACTTAGGGCTGGATAAGATTACACTATTTCAGGGTGCAGAGCACAAGCGTACAAAACTTTAGTTACTTACGGATCAATTGTGATTTTGATGCAAGACATCTTCGAGTCCCTTTGCTTGTTATCTGCGGCATTTACTGCAGTGACAGAAAATTGACATTTATTTGATGGGCTTCAGATGCCAACAACAAAAAACTGACCGCCATGTCAGCAAGCGTAAGCATATGTGCATATTAATTTATCAGCAGATTCATGCTATGAGTCCTGCACAATAATGCTGCAACATAAGCAAATATATTTGTACGTGAGAAGGAGTGCAAAGAAGAATTTTTCTATGGATACTGAATATACTAACCCAAAATTTCATCAAAGATTTTATACAAGCCAGGGACAAATGTAATGTCTCTGCAGACCAGTCCTTCCCCTTCATCAAATACCCACATTTGCTGAAAGATAAAAAAAATAAAAGAAGTAAAATAAGATCAGGATTAGTGAACAGTAAAATGACTGATACTCTAAATATAGTCAGCTTTGGACGTAAACAGATCATTGGACATGTCAAAAATCTTCAAAGGAACACTCTGGGCACCAGAACTCCTCACTGTCCACACAACAATATCCAGTTACTGAAATTCAGATCCAGGAAGCAGTGATTGTCAACAGGCAGGGGTGCCACTTATTGGCTGGGAGATCAGCTGATGCTCTAAGACAATCGGCTGCTTCTTATTCTTCCAAAAAAGGTATGTACATCTTATGTTTAAGGAAGTGCCAGGGACCTCCTGAAACCAACTTAATTTCATAGATGTTATGGCACATGCAGTGGGACTTTAAAGTTTATCAATTGTATATTATGTTTCAAAGGAGAAAAATTTAAAAAAGTGTCCAATCACAATTACTCTCTAAGGGAGTTATAGTTACACATTTATGGTGAATTCGTTACCTGAGTAACTGGCTCTACAGAACCAATGTAGGTATCTGGACGGAGCAATATGTGCTCCAGCTGAGTCTTCTTTTGATAGACCCTCTCAATAGAAAGTCTCTTGCCATCACTTTTCTTTATGTTTTCCAAAGACTGGTTCTCAAGTGGCTGAAACGAAAGAACGTAAAATAGTAAGGATAATTGCAGAAATCAACAGACACTGTAAACCAGATTTTTGAGTAAATACAAAAAAACAAATTCCTCAAATTTAAAAGGAACACTCCAAGCACCATAACCAGAACAGCCGGTCACATCCTGAGAGCCAGGCTTAGCTCATTGGCTGAGAGTGATGGCCCTGCATGGTTTGTAGTGGTTTTGGTGCTTGGAGGGTTGCTTTCACATATCAACTCTTGACAGAAAAAGACAAACAAGTAAAGCTGCCAAGTCAACTGATTATAAAGTGGCTCTATAAGCCCCACCTCTCTAAATCTCAGCATTTTATAAAGATATAAGACAAGGAGGGGCTATTTTGTCTTATGATTAATACTCAAGTTCACAAAAGGTAGGGCTTCTGCTGTCAAATGTCACTTGACAGCAATAGCCCAAGACATTGTCTAGCTTATCACGAATATGAATATATATATATATATACACATACATATACAGAATATATATATATATATATATATATATATATATATACACACACACACACACACACACATACATACATATACACACACACTTTATCTGTCTATGGACAATCCATTGTCCATAGACATGAGTGTTGCACTGACATGGGCTCCTGGCGGATAAAGTGACAGGGGTTGAAGATTTAGGAACGTTGGCACTTACAGGTGACCGCATCAGGCCAACATAAAGGAACACTATATAGCGTTAGGAACACAGACCTGTATTCTGAACACCATAGTGTGCCCGGCCCCCCTACTCCCCCTTTAGCAAAATAAAGGTTTCATGCACCTTTTACCAGTGCCAAGACTCTTTAACTCTACTCAACTGCCCACCCTCCTGTGACATGGCCTCCTCCAGCGATTGTTCAAACCAATGATCCTCAGAGGAGCATTGAGAACCTGAGGAGCATGTGAGGAGAGCGCTGAATTCAGCCAATACTCATAGGAAAGCAATAAATACAATACTTTCCTACAAGCTTTTGCGTAACACTTTTAATGTCAGTGCAGCAGAAGCACTTCTAGGGGCTGTCAGTATGACATCCACAAGAGTTGTGTTTAAAGCAGCACTGTCACAGTAGGATTTGCAAAGACCCTCCAATGGTGATATCGCTACTGGGGGCAGACAAAGACGAGGTTAACCCAACTGAATCTGTCCCTTGCAGGCGTCGCTGTCTCCCCGGCCAGTCCTATTCTGCCAATAGCAATGTAACTGCAGTATCCTTGAGCAGCAAGGGGAGTACAGCATTGAGGTTTAAAGAGGGTACCGTGAGACCCTCCATAGACAGAGCCAATACCCTGCAGCAGTCTGTGACGACTGGGGGATTGACTGTTGTCCTTGACGGCGGTAGCTTCGCCCAGGTTCAAGAAATGTCAGGTGTAACAAAAATACTCAAAGTATTCCCTACTTTGTCTCTATATCTCGACTGATCTGGACTTTCAAATTGCAAAACAGTCAATATGAGTACTTCATAAAGAGTTTATCTTTTTTAAACACTCATTTTGCAGAAGGTGGTGACAGCGTCACTCTAACCCTTCAACATAAACATTGCCCTTTCTTCATAATGGCAATGTTTTACCATTAGAGGTTAAAATAACAGAACCACTTCACAGATAAAGTAAACTTTAGTGACCCTTTACGTACAAATCCATAGCTTCTCATTTAACAATTTTGCTTTGTACACAGATTGTATAGACCCTTCCTAGTGCAGAGGATGTGTGACTCTAGCTACAGACTAACCCACTAAAGAAGGCAACTTTAAAAAAGTAAGATGATTGAAACTTATAAACACCACATCTCAAACCACTCCTATCATTTAAATCCATCCCCATAATCTTTATAGAACTTTTAAACAAACTGATAGCAAGATTATATTACACATTAGAAAACAACGTCTTAAGAGTTAGAGTATTTTTCAGAGTCACATGGATGTCCACTGTCTGTTAAACAAATTATAGACAATGCATGTTCTATACAAGCAGATCTCTCTTAATGAAAATATACATCAGGGTGTAACAGTTGATAACAGTTACTGAAGCCTGATCTTATCTGAAGATTTCACATTTAAATTTACAGAGTGATTACAAACAGGAAGAGGTCTTTTTGCCATATTCCTTTATAACCAGGAGGTGGGGATAGTGGTTTTTTGCTCATAAGCCTTGCAAACCTTTATTTCCTCTACCAATACAAAAGTAAACACAGCCCATGGCACATTTCCTACAACATACGGATTACAAAATTAACAAGTCACATAGGACTAGCAATTTTAATAAAGACTTAAAAGTTTAGAAATCAGATCCCTCTAAGGCTAGATGCAGATGCTGGTAAACGTGAAATATACATTTTAAACATGCTGTAGATATTCAGCTGCCCACCATGCATTGCCAGCCTTAAAGTAGCAAAGCAAAAAAAAAAAAACAGATCACTTGACAATAAGTATCGCATGTTAATACATTGCATTATTTCTGTGCCAGAGGGATGTATACTAAAGGGTGAATTTTAATTAATAGGCTAAAATAACAGAATTGGAGTCACCCACATTTTCATCAAGTCACCCAACTTTTCAAATCGGCTACTTGGGACTAAAAATTTTAATTATGATTTTTTTTTTGCTAACAATCCATAATGATAAAGACACAGGGGGAGAAGACCCCCAATAACAATTCAGTATCAGGGTCTCTCTCTCTCTCTCTGCTCACCTTCAGTGCTTCAGATGCCATTTCTGCAGCTTATTCCCGGTGGCTATAAACGACCTATAATTCCCTGTATGAGCCCACGTTGTGATTCCCCCCAGCGACCAACTGCTCACTGTGCGGCCAGACCGTTACAGCACTGCCTTGAAATCTCTCAATCCCGCCTAAACACAACGGCCAATCAGCGCGAGAGGCAGGAGACAAACGCACCAATCGCGCGGCTCCAGGCGGGGTTTGGCCGGTATGAATCGTCCAATAAGAAGCAAGCGCTCTCTCTCTCTTTCTGTAGCTGGCGTTCGCGAGAACACGATGGAACGCCAGACAGACTGCCATAGAATCTCAGCATGGAAAGACAACCAATGAAAATGCAGCTCAACAGACGTTAGCCAATCGAATGATAGTTGTGTGTTCTACATTTTTTTTTCCCCCCTGAGTCGATTGTGGATACTTTGTATCGGTTTTCCTGACGCTCTCACACTGCAGCAGGTGCATAGGAATTGCCAACAGGAATATTGTATCAACAGCATTGGCACTGTAATAACAATAATATATACTCCTGCACTTTGACACTCCAGCTGTTGACTACATCTCCTCAAATGCTCTTACAGCCATACTGCTGGCAAGGCATCATGGGAGATGAAGTCCAAAACATCTGGAGTGCTTAAGTTTGCCTATAGATTGTATTACATATGTAAGAAGAGACAGACGCATAACATTGAAGGGACAGTAAAGTCAGCAGAACCTTGTGGTTCTGGGACATATAGTTTGTCCCGGGAGGGTCCTAGAAACCATCTGATTGCCACAGTGCAGAGGGTGGGGGGGGTTACCTAAAACATAACTGGTACACTATAGCACTAGCCATATACATTCGTAGTCCTAACGCTACAGTGTTCCTTTAACAATCAAGTTGCAGTAGCATTGATTGTTGGTTTACAACTGTACTTAACTTTAAAAAAAAAAAAAAAATATGAAACGTTAAAATTAGAAAATGAGACTAAAAATGTAATTATTTTTTTCTATTGTGGTAAACAATAGAAAAAAAAATGTGCCTGGAGATGATGTAGATTAATTTAGAAATAAACAAAAATGTTTAAAAGTCTATCTGTTCCTGTCCAAATCTGAGATGAATAAATTGCGTATACGCAGAAGTAAGTTCACACTGACACATGCAGTTCAGGTTAAAAACACTTCAGGAAATTTATTAGCATCTAGTTAAAAAGCGGGCACGCAGGCCTTTTTATATGCAAAATGACATCATCATTGAATATCAGATAATAACAAATAAACATCATTAATTGGGTTAAATGTTAAGTGGCTATGTCAGTGTCCACCCATTAATATTATTAATTGGCTCAGAGATTTGAGTGACTAGTGAGGCACCCTCCCATCATGGGATGTCATTGCTCTTTAGCACGAGGCTTACTCGGTGGAAAGGGGGGGCTTGGGCATCATTTTACGTAGTTAGTGATGTCAGTCTCGTGGTCTGGTCCAAGGTTCTTTTATGAATAGAACATTTCATTTAGTCGCTGTTCTCCTGGCCTTGGATTATACTATGTTGCAAGTCAACGGAGATCCGCTAACTCCGGGGCTAGTTATGTCCTTAGAGAGAGAAAATACAATCTCTTATTCATTATATTGAATACTGTCATGTAAGGTGAACAAAATGGAGAGTTCTGTCACAGTGTGAGATTAAAAATGGAGTTAGTACAATTATTCAATACAAGTTCAGTAAAGATTTTAATAATTCTACATCAGTCCCCCCTATGAAATGTTAGATTCTAAAAGATAATCTTTATTTGTTAGTATCAGAAGACGTGTTAGCCCAAAGGCACAGAAACCCCGTGACCCGCTAGCTAGGTGTTATTGCAAAGTGCAAAGCTGTCCCTTCGTCTGTCCCTAATTGGCTAACTCATCTGTCCGCTGGGCACTCGAACACTTCACTCCATGGGTATCCCGAGGTGGCTAACCCACCACATCTCCGCACGGTAGACTTCCCAGACAGACAGATGCTGTCCCTAAGCTGGTCCCTTCCTAGAACTCTTGCACTTTATCAATAAACGGGATAGATTGTAGCGGTATACAGGGCGAGTTGACTTTTTGGAAATCTTGGTCATCAACTGTGAGGTGTGCGAAAGTGGGTGCCGCTTGGTCTACAGTCTTCAAGAGGAGCTTTCTCAGACAAGGGAGGACACAACAAACGAGAAGAGCAAAGATAAAAAGGAAAATTAGTATTGCTATACCAATATGCATCAAAGCTTTTTGCCATCCTGTCATCCAACCAAACCATCTCTCCCAGGGATCTTTTATCCCAGAGTTCCTCTTTAGCTCCTCAGAGAGCTCTTTCAATTTTTCTATAGCTAAGGTTACTTTACCATTGGGGCCTGTGTTTTCTGGGATGTAAGTACAACATGTCATGGTGTCAGGCAGAATTTTACATACCCCTCCTTTTTCGGCTAGAATCATATCTAAAGCCATTCTATTCTGGAATGACATTTGGGACGTAGCCTGCAGCTGTTCGGCCAAACCCTGAAGGGCATCCCTGGTGTAATTAACAAACCGTTGTTGGTTGTAGTAGATGTAATTTATCCAATTTAAATTCTTGTTTGCAGTGACTATGGTAAAAAGTGATTCAAATCCTGCAGCAACTTCATCCCTGGCTTTAAACTCATTGGGCACCCCCCTAGGTACCCCAATGGCATCAATGTAAATATGAGGGTCAAAACTGCCTTTTACTGGGGCTTCACGCTTTACCTTGGTTGGTGAGTGTTTGGACTCATGAGTATCGGGGTGTGTGTCAGAGATAATATGTATGGGCATGATTGCTTTAGCCAGAGTACACTCCCCCCACCATTCTTTATCCATTCTTGATCTCAGCTGTAGATCCCCACACAACCAGTAAATATCCCCCAATGATCTAGTGTGGAATTGTAGGAGGTTCATAGAGACAGTTCTGTAGGTGGCACAATAACCTTTAGAGAAGTTACCCACAAATTTACCAATTCCATCATAATTAGCATAACAGGTATAATTACCTTTATAGACGGTAACACCATCTGGGGGTTTGCAATCTTTGACTAGAAGAGGATACTCTACTGTCCATGCTTTACATATGGACCTATTGAAATTGTAGTGATAGGCAAAAAGACTCAGAACACATTCTTCTATATCTACTGGCAAAGTTAAAGGCACAGTGCCCAGGTGCGGCCGGGCACCACCACACACATAGCATGCGGTTCTGTTATGTTTGTTGGCATTATATTTCATCCATTCTAACCATAGATTAACATCATTGAAACCTGTTTCAGCGGCCATGGTATCTTCAAATGTTGGATTTGCAATGGCCATCATGTCTTTAAAAGATTGGATGTGTGGTTTCAACGGATTTGAGACCATGTGGGTGGTCCCTTTCCACTCAGGAGAGTGGCACATATCTTTAAGGTGGAAATGTCCTAATTTATTATAGGAACCCTTCTTCCAGTACATTCCCATTACATACTGGTCTGCATCCGTTGGGCTGGGATGCTCAATGTTTAAGATTAATTTCATAGGTATGCCTCCTCCGGGCTTTCTCAGAGTCATTCTCTGGAGGAGGGACCTACCGTGATCATCAATTTTAGATAAGACACTTTTTGGTTTGTAACCCCAGGCAGGCCCGGCATTCCATCCCGCCGCCCCCCAATGGTTACAGTTGTGCCCCCATTGTTTGTCAACTACACAAACATGAGGGATATCTCTATAGATATTCTGAATCTGTGACGTGGGGAATGGGCATTCTACGATGTCACAGTAGTCAAAAGTATAAGTAGCCACACGGGTAAATGATGAATTATACCAGAAGGTGTACCCACTAGCATCTTTAGTGATGGCTACTTGTTGAGCTTTAATTAAGCTGATTAAGAAGATACTGTACCAGAGGTACATGGTGGTGCGGTACTAGCTTCCTCTGGGGCAAGTACTTTCTTACAATGGGAAGCGTGGATCCAATGTGGCCGGCCGGCCAATTTGACGGAGGTTGCGGTGATTAGGAGAACTTGGAATGGCCCGTCAAATCTTGGTTCCAAGGTATGTTTCCGCACAAACTTCTTGACCAGAACCCAATCTCCAGGAAGCAGGCTATGGGTACCTGTATCCAAATCGGGATCTGGAATTGAAGAGAAAACTTGGGCATGTATTTTGTTCAAGGCACTTGCAAGTTCAATTACATAGTCTACTAAAACATCAGATTGAAGCTGTAACTGTTGTGGATAATAACAACCTAGTCTGGGTGCGGTCCCAAATAGAATCTCGTATGGGGATAGTGAATGCTTCCCTCTAGGTGTGTGCCTAACACTAAATAGAGCTATTGGTAGACTTTCTGGCCAGGGCATCTTTGTTTCTTGTGACATTTTAAGCATTCTGGCTTTTAAGGTGCCGTTCATGCGTTCCACTTTCCCACTACTTTGTGGGTGGTAAGGGGTGTGAAAGGCTAGGGTCACCCCCAGAGCAGTCCAAATCTCTTTAGTCACTGTTGCTGTAAAGGCTGGGCCCTGGTCACTTTCAATAACTTCTGGAAGTCCAAACCTACATACAACATCTGTAAGTAGACGTTTTGCTGTTGTTTTGGCAGTGATATTGGCTACTGGGTAGGCTTCTGGCCAGCCTGAGAACATGTCCACTATCACTAGTGCATATTCATGGGGCCCGCTCTTGGGCATTTGTATATGATCAATTTGAATTCTCTGGAATGGGTACATGGGCTTAGCCAGATGTTTTGTAGGCACTTTGATTGGCTTCCCTGGATTGCATTTTGCGCAAATGGCACAAACCCTGCAGAAGTTAGTGATCAATGTTGTTATTCCAGGGGCTTCATAATACTTCTGGATGAGGGCGGCCATTAAATCTTTTGACAGATGTGCTGGTCCGTGTGCCCATTGGACAACTGCTGGGTATAAGTTTTTTGGAAGGCAGAATTTGAAATTGTTATAGTATATTCCGTCCTTTAAGACAGCCCCTTTCTTCTTCCATTTCTGGATCTCTTCAGGGGTAATTGCGGCTTGCTGTTCCCGCAAAATCCTTAGATCAGTAGGAAGGGTCTGTAAAGTAAAAACAGGAACTTCTTCTTGACCGGACACTTCTTCGTCCACTTCCTGCAAATTTCTTGCTGCT